AGTAGGCTCGTACCTCAGATGATTAGAGTCCCACCAAGGTCCCCGTTTTTCATAAATTGGGTCAAGTAAATTAAGCAAATCCACCAAAATCTCTCTAACCATTAAGTCAACCTGGTAGTCATTCTGGTGGATTCTAGAAAGCTGCTTAGGAAATCCTGCTTGGGCAGTCAGCTTGCTGTCCGTAATGGTAGATTCCATACGAGCGGTAAGTTGGGCGGGTAAAATCGATCAAAGTGTGATTAAATTCACGACGCACGGCGTGGCGTCGTAGATCAAATTGGTAGAGCGTTGGCTTCGCGTAAAGGCCTTTCCTGCTGTGCGGGTTCGACTCCCGCCGACCTCGTGCACACATACAAAAATATTCGCGACTATCCAAGTGCCACTTGAACATGCCACCCCTTCACACGCACACAGTATGGGCCCCCGTACAGGACACTCTTTCGGGCAATGTTTGAAACCAATCGGACACCACATGAAGTGGCTCCAATTCACATAAAAGCAGCGGCCACTCCCTCTCACTCAAACACGCTCTCCCGGGCCTAGCTTCGTCCTGCACGTGTGCGGCGTTATTGAACATGAACTGCTCGTTTGTCTAGAATCAGGCGATATGGGGCCAACTCTGTTGTTACTGAAGACGTTTATCCACTTTCGAGGGTTGTACATTGTTTGTTCTTCATTATTTGTTTAATAGTACCGTGCCACACCCATTGTTGTTATCACTGGGAATTGACGTACGCGTCACGACTGGATAGTAAGTCAGAGGATGCGAGATACTCAAAGCGTTTAATAATTCCCATTCGACGTTCAAATAATCCGTTATAGGGCTGAGAGGGGTTTCAGAAAGAATGTTGGCATGAAAAATCGTCGTTTACGAGTCCAAAGTGTCAAGCCAAGTTTATTAAAGGAAATATAGGCAAGCGCCTTTGAACTCCCTATTGGTACACCTTATAGAATAAATTGCGCTAATGCCCGAAAATATACAGAAAGGCTACGGGGGATGTTTTAGGCGGGGGGTGGAGGGTATCAGAAGGGGAAACTAATTATCTAAGATGCAACATGTACTATAGGGTGTCAGGGCAAAGAAAAAGCATTCCATTTTGATATTTTAGTTCTACGCACTACACTTTATCCGCCAACTTTTTGATTTACATAAATGGAGACTCTAAAATGTCAACCTTTAACAGCAGCAATCCGCATGACATAAAAGTGTGTGGTACCCTGAACGTCTGCATGAGGAGTGGGGGGGGGGTAAAACAGCACATGTCCAGCACGAAATTGATTTGGTAAGAATGTAGTACTGGAGAAGTACAAGGAAATAACCCAACTCGTAAACTTGTTTAGTATTAACCTGAATCAGGGGTGGAGCATAATGGCGAAGAAGGCACGTGAGAGAAGAGCATTAAGGCAGCCTACCTGATAAGCTGTAGCCATGGGCGGTGGTGTCCCGTAGGCCGGAGGGATAGGCTTTTGTGGCAGGTAGGCACCATACGTAGGCGCCTGTGGCGCTGGAGCTCGCGACATGAGATCGTGGTACTGTTGCATGGCCTCCACCAGCTTCTTCTCCAGTTCACTGACATCACTGATACGCAAATCCACCTCTTGCATCTCTCGATCAATCAGGGGTTCCATGGCACGGCAGCGCGCCTC